AAAGCTGTCCTCTGTCCTGGGGCTAAGACAGTACCATTAGCACGGATGAAAGCCCTACTTATTTTGGGGGCCCAGAAAGATCCCCTGTGGGATCTAGAACACATCCTCAGTACTGGTAGGCCTCTTGCCCCCACCCTCCTCACCTTCCCTCCAGCACCACCCTTTCTCCCAGCACCAGTGGCTTGAGTCTCATAGAATATTCAGTCAGAAGCATTTCCTGCTGCCCACTGGCATAGAGTTGACCCCAGGAAATCCCTGGGGCTTTTCAGGGTAGTGCAGCCAACAGAACCCAGCAGGCAGACATCCAGAGCACAGGGGGATGCAGCCAAGGACAGGATGCACACTGCCCCTCATTTGGGCCCAGCCTGGCACCGGAGAAGCCGCCACCCTGAGAGAACACTCTGGGGTCCCAGGGCCTGCTAGAGGCAGCCCAGGTTTCTGAATCTGCTCGGCGAGATGTGGCACCCAACCACATCATCCCCGCAGCCCATTGCTTCCGCTCCTGCCTGCCCTACAATTCATGCTCCCGCAGGCCCGATCCCCTCTAGGTCCCTGAACACAGAGTGCAGTTTGTGTCTATATGCCTTTGTAGTCACGCCTCTAGGTCCCTCTGATTGATGACTCTAGTCAGCCCGAAGGCTTTACTGCCTCTTCCCCATCCCGACCCCAAAACTGAATTTGTTTCCTCTCCTTTGCGTTGCTGTAGCCCTCTGTCCATTTTAGTCCGAGCACTTACCCACAGTTGTAATTCTAGAGTTCCGTATCCCTCAACAGAATATGAGCTCCATGAATTCAGGGACCATGCTTGCCCTGTTCTCAGCACCTGGCATGTAGTGAGTATTTTCTAAATATTTGTCGAATGAATCATGTCTCTGAGATCAGAGTCACTCTATGGGGTTGAAGTATATGTGTTTCTCCTCCACTAGATAGTGAGATCCTTGAAGGCAGTGATCTTGCCCGAGTCCTCTCCGTATCTCCAGTACCTAACCCAATACTTGGCTTATACCCAGGGACAAGGGTTAAATGGAAAAATCTTTGTAACCTACAAATGGTCATTAGCCTTCTCACATCTTGGTCACTAAAAAGTTTTTTTCCTTTTATTATCACTTTTTAACAAAAATTTCAAACATAAAATGTGAAACAATAATACAGTTGGAAATATTTTTGTCATTTTGATGGACATATGTGCATGGTTTCTCCTGAAGCATTTACAAATATCTGGGACATAAGACTTATACCCTGCATACTTCATTTTGTAGCGCTTAATAATAACAGTCTCCTATATTCTCCGAATATTATTATTGCAATTACGAAAATTAACAATTCCCTGCCCTAGCCTCTTTGGCTAAGTGGATAGAGCATTGGCCTGTGGACTGAAGGGTCCTGGGTTTGATTCTGATTGGGGGCACATGCCTGGGTTGCCGGCTCAGTCCCCACTAGGGGGAGTGCAGGAAGCAGCCGATCAGTGATTCTCTCTCATCATTGATATTTCTATCTTTCCCTCTCCCTTCCTCTCTGAAATCAAGAAAAATATTTTTAAAGCTTTTTTTAAAAAAAGAAAATTAACAATTCCCTAATATAATCCCTAAATAATCTAATAGTCAAGTTTCATAGTCAGGATTTCCCCACTTACCCCATATTGTGTTTTACAGCTGTATTTTCCCCCTTTACACCAGAATCCCATCCAGGTCGAGGCATTTGCCTATTATGTGTCTTTAGAATCTTTTAATCTAGAACATTACCACTTTTTAAAAAATCCTTTTCTATTTTGGAACTAAGAGGCCAGATGTCTTGTTGAATGTTTCACAGTTTGAACTGGTCTGGTTTAACTTGCTCCTTGTGCCATGTGTGTTTCCTGTAAACTAGAAGTTAGGGCTAAAGGCTTGATTAGATTCAGATGAAACATTCTGGCAAGAACACTTCATAAGCAATGCCATGGGCTTTCCATTGCATCTCCTTAGGCAGCATGTACCATTAGTGATGCTAAATTTGACCTCTTAGTTAAGGTGGTCCCTCTATTGCAATTAACAAGTAACAGGTGCACTTCTTGTGAATATTCTTTCTCCAACCACTTTCTCCTAATGGCTGTAGCATGCACTGATGATCCTTGCTGGAGTCAGATCCTTGCCATCATGGGGGTGGCAAATTGGTGATTTTCTAATTTTATCCTTTATAGAACATTTATTTGCATTCTGCTGTAAAAGAGAGTCTTGTGTCATCACCTGGGATTGAACAGGAGTTCCTCCTAAAGAGGCAAACAGAAATGGTTCATTATTTCCCCCTTTTTGAGTACTTACTTTCTGATATTAGATATTCTAGACTTAATTTATATTTTTCCTCTTCCAGTCAGATGGAAATAAACCCTAGTGCTTTTCATAAATGATGTTTTCTCAGTATTCTCCTTGTTGCTGTCCAGCATTTTCCTGGTCTTGGTGGCCAAAGCACCATATCAGACCATCTGCAAGGATAGATGAGTCCAAGAGGTCTTTCCTGGGTTGAAAGTCTCAGTGAGGAGTTCACTACTCCACCGTTTTAGATTGGATACTTTCCTTCTATAAAGTTTCATGGATTAACCACTCAATTAACATATCCAAATTAGCTTGAGATTTTATGAGAAAAGCCTTGGATATTTTATGCTGTATTTGTTTCTCCAAATTATTTGCAAATATGATAAATACTTCAACACTGGCCTGTGGAGCCCAGTCCTCTGTTTTGAAATGTGCCCCCTATTTCTACACTATGTTTCTGTTTCTAGCAGGCTTTATTAGCATTTATCACCATTCCCAATGTACAATGCTTTATTTAAAATGAACAATAATGTAAACATAAAACTTAAATCTTTTTCAAAGTTCTCTTGAAAGGCCACTAACAAGCCCAGCTGATGGGCTCAGGGATTGAACATCGACCTATAAACCAGGAGGCTATGGTTCAATTTCCAGTCAGGGCACATGCCCAGGGCTCACTCCCCAGTGTGGGGTGTGTAGGAGTCAGCCTGTCAATGATTCTCTTTCATCATTGATGTTTCTCTCCCTCTCCCTCTCCCTCTCCCTCTCCCTCTCCCTTCCTCTCTGAAATCAATAAAAATATCTCCCTCTCGCTCTCCCTCTCCCTCTTGCTCTCCCTCTCCCTCTCCCTCTGAAATCCATAAAAATATATTTTAAAAAAAGAAAGGGCACTAAAGATATTCACCAGTAACCATACTTATACTTTCTGTCTCAAAGAATCCTGATAGGCATGATTTGCCCTTACAGAAATTATTCACTTTATATTGGTGGTACTTTTTAAATTCCTACTATGTGCAAGACTCTTGGTTGATGCTAGAATGAAAGAACCCAATATGAACCCTGCTCTCTAGGCACTTTGAGTTCAGGGCATTAAAAAGAAGTGCACCCAAGTACTTCCAATACAAGTATAGACAGGTGTTAGTTGAAAGCTCAAATGACTTCCTTCTTTGAAGAATTGCATTTGAGATGAACCTTGATGTCTAGCTAGGATTTATACTTGAGAGATGGGGCAAAACATTCAAGGAGATGGGAACAGTATGCTCAAAGGCCTAGAGTTCAGAAACCTTGGGACCCTTATAAGGAACTGTAAGTCTTTTTTTTTTAGTTTTCTCAAAATATATTTTTATTGATTTCAGAGAGGAAGAGAGAGGGAGAGAGAGAGATAGAAACATCAATGATGAGGGAGAATCATTGGTCGGCTGCCTTCTGCACACCCCACACTGGGGATCAAGCCCGCAACCTGGGCAAGTGCCCTGACCAGGAATTGAACTGTGACCTCCTGGTTCATAGATGAACACTCAATCACTGAGCCATGCTGGCTGGGTGGAACTATAAGTCTTTTTTAAAATGTTCTATTGATTTTAGAGAGAGGGGAAGAGAGAGAGAGAGAAGCATCGATCAGTTGCCTCCTGTATGTGCCTGACCAAGGATCAAACCCACAACCTAGGTATGTATCCTGACTGGAAATCAAACCTGAAAACTTTTGGTGTATCAATGACACTCCAACCAGCCTTCCACCAGGCCAGGGCAGGAACTATCAGTCTTCAATTGCTTGGAGCAAAGGATCTGAAAGGAATTGGTTGAAATAAGTTTGGAAGCCAGTTACACAGCCAGATTCTAAGTGAATGTGAATATAGAGCTATGGACTTGGGTTTTATTTAATATGAAATAGAAAGCACTGTTGTTTTGTTGACATCATCATTAGAGCAATGACATGGCTGCTCTTCAAAACATGTGATAAGGCACAGAGTGGAAGAGGCTTAACCTGAAATGCAACTGGAGTGGGGCCGGGGCCAGAGGGGGTGGCCAGAGATGGGAAGACAGGAGCCTGGAAAGGATACAAGCATGAAACATTGCTACAATGTTTATAATTGTGTATAATTAGCATTATACAATGCTGATATCTGAGAAGTAATTCAAATTCTTCCTTTAGAACAATTTCCAGTCTCTCTGCCTGACATTGAAAAGTAGCAGACAGCATACCATTTACTTCCTTTTCTAAAGGAACTAAATGAACTAACTGGTGATCTAGGGCTGCTAAGGTAGAGCCAGTATCTACAATGTACAGCCTTCTCCGCATAAGCCTTTACGTAATGATTCCCGGCCTGTTCTCCCTAAAGTGAAGCCTGCCAATTGGCGTGAGCCACCTAAGAAGAAAACCAATAGGAGTGTACAGCTCTAGCGGGAACCCACATGACCCACCAAGAAAAAGCTATCCAGGCCTTCATTCTTCAAAAGGAATAGCCTTGGGGTCTAACGTGTGGGCTGTCTGCAGTGACTACCTTCCAACGTGTACAGTATGGGAAGGGAGGGGAAGGAGTCACTTTATGATGGAGACAGACTACCTCAGCCAGGTGACCAGGGTCAGCATCCACAGTGAGTAGTCATATTGATAGTATGTAGCCTTGATATGATGTGATGAGAGTGGAAATTTACTTCTGTGGTCCTCCTAGAACCCCATAGCCTCAGTCTAATCATGAGAAAAATATCAGACAAATCATAAAGAGAGACATCCTACAAGACACCGGAATGCTGTCAGCACTGTCAAGGTCATCAAAAACAAGGAAAGTCTGAGAAACTGTCACAGCCAAGGGGAGCCTAGTGAAACATGATGACTAAATGCAGTATGACATCCTGGATGGGATCCTGCAACAGAAAAAGGACATTAGGTAAAAACTAAGAAAATCCGAATAAAGTGTGGACTTTAGCTAATAATAATGCATCAATATTCATTAATATATTATGAATGTAAGCTGTTAATAATAGAAAAAGAAGCCTGGTGTGGGGTTTATGGGAACTCTCTGTATTATTTTCACAATTTTTCTATAAATCTAAAAACTATTCTAAAATAAGTTTATTTTTAAATGTTTATAAAGAAAAAGATGAAGAAAATCAATTACATGAAAGTTAAATAGAAAAACTGACCTCAGAGGACACAGAGGTGATACTGTTGGGAAAAAAAAACTAAAAAATGTGTACTCCAGTTAGTACCCTGAGAGAGAATTTAAAATATTGCATCCACAAAACAAGAACAAGATGCTCTTAAAAATGAACAACCTGAAAACATAGAGGAGTTCTTAGAGAATAAATAAATAATTACTAAAATTAAAAAATTCACTAGGAGAGGTTGGAAGATAATGTCAAGGAAATCTCTTACCATGTAAATCAAAGACAAAGGCAAAGACACAATATGAGAGAAAAGAGACATAGAGGACCAATCCAGATGGTCAGTCAACTAACAGGGCTTTAAAAATCAAATGTAACCTTAGCAAATGCCTTCAACCTGCAGTGAACAATAATCATACAAATAAATATTACTGATTAACTTTTAACTTTTACTGTCTTTAGACAAAACATGGAAAATTAATTACAAATTAGAATGTAAATGTTATGAACCATTACAAAATGAAATAAAGGTATATCTGATAAAAATTGGATGTTTGGAATTGGAAGGAGAAGTGAAAGAAAAGGTAGGGTAATAATATGCTTATCATATGTAGTGAGGAATTGAGAAATATTATTTAATGTTGGTAGAGTAAGAAACAGAATTTAAGTGCATTATTTAAAAACACAAAAAGAATATAAAATTTTTTAATATATATTTTTAATCCTCACCCGAGAATATTTTCCCTTGATTTTTACAGAAGAGAGAAACGTCAATGTGAGAGAGACACATCAATTGGTTGCCTCCTGCATGCATCCTGACCAGGGCTGAGGCTGTGGCACGTGCCCTTGACTGGAATCTAACCCAGGACCTTTCAGTCCGCAGGCCGATGCTCTGTCCACTGAGCCAATCAGCCAAACTGGCTAGGGCAAAAAAAATTTAAATTGGAATAAGAGGCTTTGAGAGGTGAGCAACCCCAAATCCTCATATTATATAATAAGACACGAGTAGAGAATGTCTGTAATTGACAAGTGAAAAGTAGAGCTATGAGCATATTTTGTAGAATTATAAGAAAACTCTCATAAGAACTAAATGATCAAATAAAGAGAGGGTGCTTCTAGTGAGAAGAAATTGGCAGGAAAGTGTTGCTAAAATAAAATCTCTAGTATTTTATTTTAGTTTTACTGAATTTTTAAGATTCATTTTTGATGAGCTATTAATAGTCTTCAAGGGGAAAATAATGAGGATAGTTGGAATGGAAAAGAGAACAGGTGGGCCCTAACCGGTTTGGCTCAGTGGATAGAGCATCAGCCTGCAGACTGAAGGGTCCCAGGTTTAATTCTGGTCAAGGGCATGTACCTTGGTTGTGGGCACATCCCCAGTAGGAGGTGTACAGGAGGCAGCTGATCGATGTTTCTAACTCTCTATCCCTCTCCCTTCCTCTGTGTAAAAAATCAATAAAATATATTTTTTTTAAAAAGAAAGAGAAGAGAACAGGTGGGAGATGCTGCAGAATAAAACCAATACTTGGCAACTGACTCGATGGGGGCAAAAGAGACATCTTAGGTTTTGAGCCCAAGTGCAGAGAAGAATGAATAGGGAAAGTAGTTGGTGAGGCAGTTTGGGAGAGACGATATATGGTTTTTACCGGGCTGCTGTAGTTGACAAAAAGTTGCCAATATTAATATTTAAAGGATGTAAACTTTTTAAATGTTCATGAAGGATTCAGGATCTTTTTTGTTTGAACCAGGAAACAGTGCAGCATGCTCCCAGGTATAAAACAGGCTCTCTGATTCTTCCAAGAGTCCCCTTTGGAGAGACACAGTTGCTGCTAAAGCACCCATGCAGCGGGAGGGGTCCCCTGTTGGCAAGAAGCTCACCTCTGCACTCGAATAGGGGTTGTACACGCCTCCCCAATTCTGCCCACCTGTTCAAAATCTCTGCCTACCTGCTTGCTTGCTCACTGGGTGCAAATAACTGATGCAGAGTTACCCCGAACACATGGATTGTTTACTGTGAGACTGAAAGGAAGTTGAGCTTCCCAGATAGAATGTCTCGTGGTAGGCTCAGGTGTCAATCCTGCCTGAGGACGAATTCTGCAGAACCGGACATAGTGAATTTGATGCAGATGGAACGGCAGGCAGGCAGGTAGGACTGGAGCTCAGGAGTGAGAGAAGGGCAGAGGTGGGAGGAGAGGCAGAGTTGAACTGAATGAACTAACCAGGGGCAGAAGTGAGGCTGTCTGGAGATAAAAAGTCAAGGAGAGGCCCTTAGGGAATACCCCCGCTTAGAAAAGGGAGAAGAAAGGGCAATTAAATGGACACGAAGAATCAGAAAAGAACAAGTCATACAAGCGCAGGGAGAATAGTTTCTAGAAGGGGGTGGCCAGCAGTATCCACCATCCTGCAGCAGAGCAAGAGGACCAGGATGGAGAAGAGGCTTCTGATGTGGTAAACGGGGCCTCTGGTGGATGTCTAGACACGGAGGAAGCTTGGGGGTGGGAAGGCAGGACACAGGGAGGTTTGGGCAAGTCTGATTGGATGAACTTCTTTTCCTCAAGCCCCCAAACGAATCATCTGCAGGAAATAAAGTCTTCCCGTGGCAGACATTGGGAAGAACAGGAGGCTCTAGAATGGGCACTGGAGAAACTGAAAAACTAATCACCTTCCTGCCTTTATGTTTTATTTGTTTAAGAATACATTTTATAATAGCATCAAGGCTCTGGTTAGGACTTAACTGGACTCGCTAATACCCCTGAGTCCACCCACCATTCTTCATTGATCATCGTCACACACCTCACCTCATCCCCTACTTTTATTGTAATCCTTGTCTGCTGGGCTTAGAATTTCCTATGCATTTGTAATTATTTTACCTGGTATATTCAACCTGTCTGTTTCAGCTACTATTTAGGGTACACATTTTCTCTCATAAAGTGAAAATTTGTTCTGTCCATCTCACTTCTCCGTTTTCACTCCATTGATTGTTCCACTGCATTTTCCGCTGGCATGTTTGGAAAACCTCTTTCCTCAATGCAGCGTTACTACCCTAGTATTTGGCTATAAGTAATAGATAACCCAACTAACGAGTGAATTAAACAAATCGGATATTATCTTCCTCATGTAATTAGAAATCTTCAGGTAGGTAATTACAGGAATTGGTTCAGCAACTCAATAACGGCAGTAAATCAGACCAAGCTGATTCTTTTTAAAAAATATATATATATTTTATTGATTTTTTACAGAGAGGAAGGGAGAGGGATAGAGAGCTAGAAACATCGATGAGAGAGAAACATCGATGAGCTGCCTCCTGCACACCCCCCACTGGGGATGTGCCTGCAACCAAGGTACATGCCCTTGACCAGAATCGAACCTGGGACCCTTCCGCAGGCTGACACTCTATCCACAGAGCCAAGCAGGCCAGGGCCCATGCTGATTCTTTGGCCTTTTCCTTATGGCAGTAAAATAGCTGCTAAAGCTCTACCCATCACATCCACACTTAAAACAGATAAAAGGGGAAGGGGCAGGGCCAAACATTTTCATTTGTGTGTTATTGGCTATAATGTGACAAATGGCTATTACTTGTAAGAGAAGCTGGGAAAATGTGTATTTAGTGGTTTTTTGTGTGTGTTTTTTTAATAATCTCTCTAGTAAAAAAAAAAAAAAAAGCAGGTGGGGAAGAGTTTGCTAGAAGATGCTGGGTAAGTCAGATTAATGTCTGCCACAGCTACGTTTTACAGACCTTCTAAAATAGTCAGCTATCTAATGTTGAAATTGCATTTGACCTGTTATACCCATGGGTTGCTTTAATATTTTTCCTTGTATAGCATTCCACTTTTAAAGAATATTTTTTTAAAAGACTTTTAAAAAAAGATATTTTTAAAGTTAGTCTCTATATTTCTTTTCTTCATACACATTTGTCTTGGGACATTAGGAAGGTATTTTTAAAAAAAATTTCCAGACTGTCTGCAGGCAAATAACAAAACCTTTTCATTTTTAAAATCAACCAATGCCTATATTTTATGCTAATTTTAATTTCTAAATTTGAAAAATTGTGAAATGGATTGGTTGATAAAGTACTTTAAGTAAGAGTTTAATGCTGATCCAAGGGAAATGGTACTTGTTTGCTTCTTTGTAAAGGAAACATAATATGCATGTAAACATATATACTTTTTTATTGAATGCCTCCGTTTTTTAAAAAATTTAATTGTGGTAAAATACACATATAATTTATCATCTTAACCCTTTAAGTGGCATTAAGTACACTCACATTGTTGTGCAACCAACACCACCTTCCTACTCCAGAATTTTTTTCTTTCCCACTTGAAACTCTATCCATTAAACAATAACTCCCCATTCACCCTGCCCCAGTTCCTTTTACCCACCACTCTACTTTCTGTCTCTGTGAATTTGATTATTCTAGAGACCTCATATAAATGGAATCATACAGTATTTGTCGTTTTTGTGACTGGCTTATTTCACTTCGCATAATGTCCTCAGGGTTCATCCATGTTATAGTATGTGTCAGAATTTTCTTTTGAGGCTGAAATCTATTTCACTGTATGTACATACCACATCTTGTTTGCCCATTTATCCATCAATGGACTTTGAGTGGCTTCCGTCTTTCAGCTATTGTGAATAATGCTGCTGTGAACACGTTCTCCCAACGGAGTAGAAGCACGCTGATGCTTTCGGTGGACTAAGTGCGTGTGTCTGTACCAGCAGTTGCTCTCCCTGCTCAGAACATGGTAATGGGAGCTGTGGGCTGGGCGTTCATGCTCATGGACACTAAGCTACCACATAGGAAAGCAGCTATATTTTTTTCTGGAAGTAATTTTTAACTAATCCTTTTTATTGTGGAGTATATGTAGTATTTGTATAATGCATAATTTAACTTGGTAATAAATATACAAATGATAACTCACCTTTGATAACTTTCAATGATGATATCCCCTATGATTTGGATAATCACACATTCCCTAAATATTTATGGCTTTGAAGTTTTTGTAACCTCTTTGTGAAAGGTTGACCACCCTGAAGAAGCTTTGCCCAGGATTTCCTTGGCTTGTTCTCATGTTCTATTCTCAGGAGGGGAAGTCATCCAGGTGGAGCTGCTGGGGGTGTGGGTTTCATTTAAGCCCCCGGTGAGTGGGATTGTTTCAGATTCCAGGGCAGGGGCCCAACGAAACCTGGAAAATATTGTGTGTGCTGGCTTTGGAGACCCAGTTTGAGTTTGGATCCTAGATCTGCCTCTTATGAATGAGCAAATGGTTGTATCTGTCGTTCACTGATATGGGATGTCTTAATCATCTAACCTTCACAATAATCCTATCATGACTCCCAGTTTACAGAAATGGCACTGAGTGTGGCAGTGGAGCTCCTGCCCAGCTTGACTCAGTTAATAAATGGTGGTGTCAGGATTCAAACCCAGGCTGTGTAACTCTAGAACTGGGACTCTTAGTCACTTTGCCAAACTGTCTTCTGGAAATCAGGATTTGCAAGGTGGAGATGGGGAGGGAAGGATAAGGAGTGTGTTGTGAAAAGCATCGGGTAACAGAGCAGCACATAAATATTACTAGAGGTGTTGTTGTATTAATGGTCGCCCCTCTTTGTTAAAAACAAAAGCATGATTTCTTAGCTTTTTGGAAGCAAAACCTACCCCCTGCGGCCATATGATCACCCCCTCTGTGGAGTCCAATTCAGGTATGGCCCAGCACAATTTCCTAGGGCTGCTGTAGCAAAGCACCACAAATTGGAGGGCCTAGAACGGTGATGGCAAACCTTTTGAGCTCAGCGTGTCAGCATTTTGAAAAACCCTAACTTAATTCTGGTGCCGTGTCACATATAGAAATTTTTTGATATTTGCAACCATAGTAAAACAAAGATTTATATTTTTGACATTTATTTTATATATTTAAATGCCATTTAATAAAGAAAAATCAACCAAAAAATGAGTTCGCGTGTCACCTCTGACACGTGTGTCATAGGTTCGCCATCACTGGCCTAGAACAACAGAAAATTATTGCCTCTCAGTTCTGGAGGCCAGAAGTCTGAAATCAAGGTGTCAGTGGGGGGATGCTCCCTCTCAAGGTGCTATGGAAGGGTCTGGCCTAGGCATTTTTGGGGCAGTCTTTGATGTTCCTTGACTTCTGCATGCTCCCCTTTCCCCGTCCCTGCCTTCATCTTCACACAGCATTCTCTCTGCGTGTCCGGATTCCCCTTTTAAAGATGAGTCATACTGGATTAGGGACCTTCCTGCCCTGATATGGCCTCATCTTCAACTAATGACATCTGTAAGACTCTTTCCAAATAAGGTCACATTCTGAGCTGGGAATGTTGGGACTTCAACATATGAATTCTGGGTGGGGGGAGACAAATCAGCTCATAACACCCAGTGTCTCCTTCTGGTCTCAGTGGCGCCACAACAAGTGGGGGCGAGAATGAGCATGAGGACCTGGAGCAGGAGTGGAAGCCTCCAGACGAGGAGTTAATCAGGAAACTGGTGGATCAGATCGAATTCTACTTTTCCGATGAAAACTTGGAAAAGGATGCCTTCCTGCTAAAGCACGTGAGGAGGAACAAGTTGGGATATGTGAGTGTTAAGCTACTCACATCCTTCAAAAAGGTAAGGCCTCATTGTCAGAGCTGCCCCAAGGGTTTCAAGGCTGTTTGGGGGCATGGGTCAAAATATTTTTTGCCCTTTTCAAACATAATGACTAGTAATTTTTTACTTCCTCTGAGGCCTGAAAAAAGAGAAAAATGATCAAGAGGCGGGATTTGGGATTGTCCCACACATGAAAAGGGTCCTGGGTTTGGGGACAGATCTCAGCAATGGCCTTTTGAGACACCTACCAGGCCTAGAATTATATGCAATTCAAGCTTTTCATTTGTATAGTTGAATAAATAAAAGGAGCCGTGTTTGCCTGCTTCTCGAAGAGCTGACAGATAAGTTGGCCTCAGAACTCTGTCTCCCTTGAGGGAAGTGTGTTTACTAGAATGGAAAAGCACTACGCTGACTGTTGTATCATGAAATGTGTAATGAGTAGGTCCTGACCAAGTTGTCAGGAAGCACCTCGGACAGCTTTTCTCCCAGACAGCTTCTCTGCCTCAGATCCTGGTGTGCTCTGCCCTCTTCTGTTGTTCTCTTTATTTTATTCATTCATCAAGCACACTCATCCTGTATGCTGAGTCCTGTGTTTTGGTGATTTTGGCATTCCCTTGCCTTTGCAAAGACCAGTGAAGGGGAGAGAGACTAGTGAAGGGCTACGATATGACCTTAGACAGCACCATGAAAGCAAGCACTGTTGGTGGTGAGTTGCTTAGAACAACTTTATTCATTCATCAAGCACACTCATCCTGTATGCTGAGTCCTGTGTTAGGCACAGGATATACAAGGTGATTTTGGCATTCCCTTGCCTTTGCAAAGTCCAGTGAAGGGGAGAGAGACTAGTGAAGGGCTATGATATGACCTTAGACAGCACCATGAAAGCAAGCACTGTTGGTGGTGAGTTGCTTAGAACAACTAATCCTGATGGGAGAATTGGGAAGTCTTCCCGGAAGTGGCGACATTAAAGTTGGATCTTGGAGAATGAGTAGGAGTTTTTCACACACAGGAGAGGGGAAGGGGCACTTCATGTTACAACGGAAAAACCTACCTCCTCCTGTGAACCGCCTTTGCTGCCACACTGTTCCCACACTCACACTTCAGTAGAAGTGAGGGGAGGGTTCCCACACCAAGCATTTCCGTGGCACAGCTGAGGGTCCTCACTTCACCTCAGTTCTGACACTGTCTACCTGGAGATGGCATTACATCCCAGAGGTTAAGGGCTCGGTCCCACAGACTGACCCCCACTTCGGGTGCCAATCACAAGTAGTACGTCCCCAGGTTACCCACAACTTCTGTCCAACTTGGCTACAAATCAGAGGTTCCTGTGGCCTCCTCCCCGTGGATTCGATTATTTGCCAAAATAGTGCACAGAACTCGGGGAAACACATTTACCAGTTGGACATAACAAAGGATCCAGATGAATAACCCGGTGAAAAGATACAAGGGATGGGGTTTGGGAGGGCCCTGAGCGCAGGAACGCCTGTCCCAGTGGAGTTGGGGGCACCACCCTCTATGTAGGCAGATGTGTTCACCCACCTGAAAGCTCTCCAAATCCCCTACTATTGGGATTTTTTTGGAGGCTTCCTCACATAAAAGTGATCATTATTAACTTCATTTCTACCCTTTCTCCCCTCTCAGAGGATGGGGCAGAGGCCTGAAAGTTCTAAGCTTCTAATTATGACTCAGACTTTCTGGTGACCAGCCCCATCCAGGAGCTTTGGGAGCCCACCCAGGGTCACCTCATTAGAACAAAAGATGCTTCTAGTGCTCTGATCCCTCAGGACTTGGCAAAAGGTTTCAGGAGCTCAGTGCCAGGAATGGAAATGAAGACCGAATACATATATTTCTTATTATAAATTGCAATATCACACATGTGCAGAGAACAGTGAGCAAGCCTTCACATGCAGAGTGTCAGGAGCCCCAAAATGCAGCAGCCAGTGGAATCATCCTATACATTTCTTTTCTCCTCCCCAGACACCCTAAGAGTCTCCTGATTTTCTCTCCTTTTTAACTTGCCATTTACGTATCTATTTAGGAGGTGTCTTCTCTGTTGAAAACCAGCCGCAGAGTGGACACAGACTCCCCCATACCTCCAAAATGAGAGCAAAGACCTTTTTCCTTTGACAGGGTTTCCTGCTAATCATAATAGCAAACCTATACGACAAAGGTAACAAACAGGGAAATTACAGCATTTTATAATCTCACAAAGTTCTTTCAGTAATTGCACAAAGCCCGCAGCTCCCTGGTTCCTCTTCTTAGGTGCCTGGCCACTCCTAAAAGCTCAGACACAGGCCTGGGACGCTCAGACTGAGATTCTCATGGACCTTGCTCCCAGCTCTGGAAGGGTGCTTGCCAGAACCTGCTCTTCTCTCCACTGGCCGTGGCCAGCGGCCACTTCTCCAGCCCTCTGAGCAAGGCAGCACTGGCCTTCTCCGACACCGTCCGCTCAGGCTCCGGGCTTAGGCAGTAGATTGTCCTCTCCAGAGTCTCCCTCCCTGACCTGTTTTGGAGAAGGCTCCCCATGTTCTACCCTCAAAAGGACCACTGTTTGGCTCTCCCACAACCTGGCACTGACCTGCGGTCATCATCTTCACCCTTTCGGATCCCTCATTACATCCACTCACCGCCAGTCCAACTCTTT